TTTAATGGAGCAGGATTGGGCCAATACTTCAATATCCTGTGCTTAGTTTGAACAAAGCTTCATGCAGCTATGACTATACCCGGCCTAAAAAAAAAAAAAAACAAACTAAGCTGCCAGGAAATTCAGAATTTATCAATACAACAGAAACAGTTAGGAAAAAAAGGTGGTAGTGCAAAATAAAAGGAAAGCATAATCCTGAGATGTTCTGGTTACTTTTAAAAAAGAGGTTTTTACAGGACATTAACTATAAAATCGCTTTTGACAAAATTACATGTCAGTTCTTTCAGTCTTCGCTGAGCTAGAACTCCCTACAGATATCAACAGGGAGTTTTGTCTGATAAAGGTGATAAATCTGTGCCCTGAATACTACTTCCTAGCCTTCTAGAGCATCTCAAACTTATTATTTCCCCATACCTTCCAAAACTGTACCTTCAAAAACCTGTAAGGTTGCACTATATACATTTATACATCTAGTTCTCACCATTAAAAACAAAATAAAAAAGGCATTCATTTTCTACTGAGAAATAAGCATTGGTGGTTTGGGGTTTTTTTCTGATTTTAAATAGTATTTACACAAAATTCTGCTTACCGCTTACTAGCTAAAAAGAAAACTCTTCTTTGAGTGTCAATACTACTGAATTTTTTTTCTCTCTTTTTTTTTTTTTCCTTTGGGAGGGGAGAATTAAATGCAGTTGAAAACAGTCTAATATTATTTCAGATTTTTGCACAAAGTGCTGAAGCTGTTACACTGTTTGGGTTAAGATCGTTATTGTATAGCCATTGCTAGACAATACGGGACTAATCCTTATGGCAAATATTTCTGTAGAAACTTAACTATCACAGTGTGTTACAAAAATATCACAGAAGATAACATGATTCCCCATATACAACAAGCATACTGGCTTCAAGTATCCTAAAACTTATGCTGAAAGCCTAAAGCCTCCCAAAAAGAACAAGTGAAAAAGCAGGCTTCCAAAACACATTCGCAGGTGTACTTCAGATTTCGCTTTGTGAAAGCATGTGGAGTACAGATCAGCGAACCACCAACATGCTCGCTCTCTCCAGAGTCTTTCCCAACTAAGACAACTCAAACAAATCCTTATTTACGCTACAGATTTACATTTTTACAGTCAGGGGAGTTGATCCTCAGAATCTGCCGAGTTCCCTGGTTGGTAGTACCGACCACTCACGGAGGCACCGTGTCACGCCTAAGGCTTTCACTGAAATATCTTCCAGTGCTTATTTGCAAACCTTGGCAACCTGCATAAGAGTTGCCTATTGTTATTAGTAGTAGTACTAGTATCTAATATTAATATTAATATTGATAATAATATTATTATTATTACCACTACAACTACTACTGCTACTTCTACTATTATGGCATGGCTGCAAAGGAGGATTACTTCTAAAAGAAGCTGCAAACTGCACGGCTCCTCTTCCAGCTTTTTAGCTATATATTACTATTCTTTTGTTTAAGGAAAGCTTTCTCTAAACAAACCTTGCACAAAAGACTTAAGTAATTAGTGACAGATTCAGGCAATGCAGCCATTCAAATATGGCTGTCTTCTGATCTAGAACGAGCTGATCAAACACCAGCAAGCTAATTATTTCAGACACTGTACAGTAATCACCAAGTCCAAATGTAAGCATTTACAATCAAAACAGGTGTAATTTTCTGCACTAGAAGACAGTCTCATGATCTATAAATGTCAAAACTAATACATATAATGTGTAAGCTTACAATAGAAACCTAAACTTCTGATGCCCACTGCCAAGAGATATCAATGCGGACCTTTTCAGCACTTTGAGATAATAACCAGCCTAGTGTACTAATTTACAAATCCAAAGAAGCAGCAGTCTGCATTTGAAATACAACCTGTGAAAAAGTACAAAAGGAAAACAGCAGTATAGGTATTTTGCAGACAATCAGTGCTTAGCTCTGTTCTCAGTGAAACAGAGGGTTAGTTTTGTGCTATCTCAGGGGGATCAGGCTTGCACCCTATTACCCAGGAACCTACAGCTCTGTTGTGCATTCCTCTTTCTCTCAACTCCCCAGCCTTAAAAACAGTGAGAATACTTTTCAAATGAGCAGTCCAAGTACACTAATCTCATTCTCTGTCTTGAAATATTCAACAACTTCTTTTGAAAAATATTTAAGATAATGATGTTGGAGAGTCATTAAAGTTTTGGGTTTTGTTTTTTTTTCAAAAAAAAAAAAAATCAACTTTACACATACAAAGAACCTCACCACAGTATTTTCCATTTAGGATACATTCTTTTAGCACTTCTTAAGAAACCAAACAAGTTTGATGTCTCACGGCGCTTCTTTCTCGGACTGGTAGGTAAGGAGGTGACACAGGTGGCATCAAAGTAAATGCTGCTTTGCCATAGCTGACAGTATACACAGAGGCTACCAAGATGTTTCACAGAACAACAGACTACCGTCTCAGTCCAACAACTCCTACTCAAATGAGTAGCCTTTGCTCATATTAAAACACCACTGAAATTAACAGGATTGAAAGAGTATGAACTATTCATTCAAACAGCAGTCTTTATGGTCTTGTCCTAAACAAGCACTCCAGAGGGGAAGAAAGCAAGACTGAAAATGATGACTGGTAAGTATTTTTTAATATACGTATGCGTACTGGAGAAATGAACAGGGTCCCAGTATTTCACAAATGAGGTTTTCAACATCCCTTTCAGAATTACTGTTTAATATGAAAGCACTAATGCATTTATTGTTGCTTTTGAAGTGGAAGTCCTCACTGACTTCAACAGGGAATAAAGCTTAAAAGTATATGCCTCCTCCACATGAAAGGGTATTTTTGGTGTTTCTTAATGCTCAATCACTTTATAAATGACAGAAGGCAGTACCAAAATATTATCCAGATTACTAAAAGTTTTAAGTGTTTAAATACGAAACTAAAAAATAAGTCAGTTTTAGTTACAGCATATACCTATTACAGGAAAACACAGCATTTTTCCATGTTTCCTTATGT